AGTACTAATATTATTCTGGATCACTCCATCAGCCCTATCATATACGATATCATGATCTTTTTGGACACCCTATATACAAGGTGTTTCTTAAGTACGTGTAGAAAATTCAAGAGCATGATGCTGACGTCTGAATGAGAAAAAAAGTTCGTATGAATATAAGTCCGAAAGTTATTCGTTTCTGAGATACAAAGTGTCAAATTTGAATTAAAATTTTTGTTTTTTGGTAAAATATTTCAAAATAATTCTGATATTCGAATGGAGTTTGGTATCTACGGGAATTTTTCAATGACAATATCAAATTTTATGTTAGTTTGTCTCATTCGTGGGGGTGGCGTCACCTACATGTGTTTTGAGACTTTTGAAAAGTGGTAACTTTCTTGAGCTTACCAGTATGACGTTTTATAGTGAAAAAATAAATTTCAAGAATACTTCTATGTCAAAAATATATTTTTGGTAGAGGTCGCTGCGAGCAACATTATTTGAGTTATTGGGATTTGAAATAATCGATGCATTTGAATTATTCCCATGAGACTCGTCAGATTTTGCGCAATTTTTCTCGTGCTTGTCTGTAGATCTTCTTCGATTGCCTGAAGAACAGCTTCCTCTATTTCTATAGAGTCCTAGTAGTAGGGTCTGCCTATCACTGGAGATTTTGAGAGGATCCAGACTCCCATAAGACGGTGAAGGAGGTTTCTGGTGTCTGGTGATTCGGCAGTCGATGATTAGGTAATCTTTCATGCAATTGTTATCTTTTCAAATTGGAAGAGTCCAAAAAAGTATGTACAAAGATGTAAGAATCATCTTTTGACGATATTCCAATGTTGAATGTAGGAGAATATTGAATGAATGAAGAAAAATGCACTGGCGTATCTTTTCTGATATTCACTACTAAGAGGCGCCTGACGAGCCCAATGGAAATAATTCAAATGCATCGATCATTTCGAATCCCAATAACTCGAAACGAGTTGCTCGCAGCGACCTCTACCAGGAATATATTTTTCACACAAAAGTGTTCTAGAAATCAATTTCTCTATTATAAAACGTGATACAGGTACGCACAAGAAAGTTATGACTTTTCAAAAGACTCCAAAGCGACTCCAAAGACATGTAGGTGGCGCCACCACTACGAAAGAGACAAACCAACATAAAATTTGATAATGTCATTGAAAACTACCTCTAGATACCAAATTTCATTCGGATATTCAAAATATTTCGAAATTTATTAACATAAAACGAAAATAAGAATTCAACTTTGACACTCTGTATCTCAGAAACGGAGAAATTTCGGACATATATTTATACGAACTTTTCCACTTATTATTCTGACGTCACGATTATTCATCTTGAGCCACTCCAGAGGTTCTATTGAAATCTTTTAGTTGAACGATCTCATCCACTCCACACCATTTTTTTCTCTATCCCTGGTTTCAACTCCGAGATAGGGGTATCAAATCTTGTGGGTCCCAGGTATCCATCTATAAGTACTGGTGTCTCGATATTTATATCAGACAGTATAATGTTGTTGAAATTGAATTCAACATCAGTTTCCTCATCATTATCCTTGAAAAATGTCTTGGTCATGTTGTATGGTGGGACAAATTCCAAACAGCGTAGATTTTCACGTTTTGTGAACGGAAAATAAACATATAAGTTGGAAAAATATAACAAGTAGGTCATGATGAGCATAAAATTTGCAGCCGCAATTCGAGAGGAGGAACACAACGTACGGAACAAGTTTTGAGTTTATTCTATTCACTATACTAATGTATTGTTTTATTCGCTCCAGCTCAGAACATATGATTCAAAAGACCAATATGAGTGAGTAATATGGGGCGGGAGAAAAAATATAAACCGTCGTACCACAAATCATAAGCCCATTGCAGAGCGGGATATATTTTTTCCCAGCATACTTCTTACTCCAAGAAATTCGTGGTTCGAATTCTGCACCAAAGTACTTGAAAGAGTTAACTAGACTATACTATATATACAGTGTGTGCGATTTCAACCCGCAACACCCTCCTAATTTTGAACTCATCGATCGATTTTCAAAACCAAAAATTCCATAACATAGCACTCAACGAACTCTATTTGAAAATGTGGCCAATTTTGAAATATTCAGATTCTCAAGGCCTACTTTTGTTTGTTGAAAGTGTCAAAATTTCAAGAACGACTATCAGGCAATTTTTTCCCCCGAGAAAGTTATAATAATAATAATAATATTTATTTTATCCTTTGAGACATTACAAAATGTATAGGACAAGTCAAGCGCTTACAAAATGGTTTGAAAATGAAATACATGATGAAATACACAAAATACAATTATTGTCAGTAAAAATTAAAACAAATGGCGACAATGGCTTAAATGGCTAAAATGGCTACTACAAGTCATCCTGCAGGAATTCATCTATACTATAATAACATTTGGTAATCTATAGTCCGTTAAAAAGAATAATTAGAAATTATATTTTTAATTATTGTTGTATGTTTGATTGTATAGTTCCATATCCATATATCTGAAACTATTTTCTAGTTTTGTTGTTTTGTGTTTGGCAATGCGTAGGAGATCTGAGTTTCTGGTGTCATGGTGATGATCCGAAGAATTCAGTTGGAAGGTATTGATGTTATTTCTCACATACAGAAGACAGTGATGAATAAACACGCTGTAGAAAGACATTATTTTATATTTTATGAAGGTGGGTTTACAAATTCGTTGATATTCTAGTCGGAATAGTTCATATTTATTTTTCTCAAACTTTTTTCGTTATCCATCGAGGTAAAATCCCGGGCCTCATGTGCCTTATAGTGAAAGATTCCCTGCGTACCTCATTTCTGATTTATAAAAGACTAGCAACCATGGCACGATAATCCACTACACTGTTCCACCAAACCGATTTTTCAAATGATCAAAACCAAGATTCGAAGCGTTTAAAAAATCGATTTGGTAAGTGGTAGAACAGTGTTTCGTCTATACTTGGTTCTATATCGGAGTTTCTGAGTGTTCTATATCCATTGTTGACAGCCATAATATACCGTCCTTATTTTATACAACCAAAGATCTAGTAGAGCAGTAGGAGGAATTGGGGTGAAAATAATTTCCACAAAAACGCAGTTTTCATTTCCTGAAGCCTCATTCGACCCCTTACACTATATTAAAAATATAGATGCATTCTTTGATGCAAAAATGTTCTGATGCAACTTTTACGGAAGCGTATTAGGGCCACCATGAACAATTTTTTATCTTGAAATTTCAACATAGCTAAGTCGAAATTTCAACATACTAAGTCGAAATTTCGACATATATATCTTGAAACTTCGACTTGGCTATGTTGAAATTTCAACTTACCTATGTTGAAATTTCGACTTAGCTAAGTTGAAATTTCAACTTACTATCTTGAAATTTCAACATAGCTAAGTTGAAATTTCAAGATATTGAGTTGAAATTTCAACATTCTAATTCGAAATTTCGATAGACTTGGGTCTAGGAAATTAAGAGCTAACCGAACAGTTTCTTGAGTGACCGATAATCCATTTCAAATGCATCCACTTGTTACCATGTAGTTATCCATACTTTCCGATTTCATCGGTCAAACAATCCTAGAGTTGTTCAAGTTGTGTATATTTTTTCCACCATCACTAGCTATAAAACCATAAAACCTACCATTATTTACTCCTTTTCGAGGCGTGAATTGTGTTTTTCCTAATAAAATAGTAGATTTCGTCATTTTATTAACTACTGGTCAATAATGACATAGCCACCTCTGTTATATAATGAACCCGAATTCAGCACTGTTCTGATGCGAGGTTCGCAATAATGGCCCTCGAATCTAGTAGGTATTTATCATTGTCATATATGCTGTCATAGTTATGGCTACTAGATTTATTTAATTGGAATTGAAGAGAAGTGCTTTCATAGTGACAATAGGTTTAATGTATTACTAGTGATGGAAAAAATTTGATATACACCTTGGTAGTGAAGAATATTATTACCACGGGACCTTATAACCCTCGGCGGAGCCTCGGGATATAATCTTGGTCCCTGGGTAATAATGATATGCTTTACTACCTTGGTGTATAAATAACTATTCTTCTGTACAACTCCATTTTTCTGAGGCCCTTCTCAATGTTCTCCTGTTTGTATGGATTTTATGTCTCTCAGAAGGAAAAAGGAAAATTTCACTCTGGCTGAATCCGAGTAGAAAGTAGAATTTGACTAAATCATACATATTTGCTAAACATAACTCGTGTCGATCGTTTGTTTAGAGCATGTACAACGGTCGTACTAATCTCATCAGTTATACGTTTCAGATAGGTATCGAAGTTATGTCGGAATTTCGACATGATTATGTTGATATCTCGACTTAGCTATGTTGAAATTTCAACTTAGCTATGATGAAATTTCAAGATAGTAAGTTGAAATTTCGACAAAGCTAAGCGGAAATTTCGACTCACTATCTTGAAATTTCAACATAGCTAAGTTGAAATTTCAAGATAACAAAATTTTGATGGTGGCCCTAATACGCTTCCGTAAACTTTTCATATTTCAGGTGCTCAAACCGAAATGAACTCAACACATGTTTTGCTACCCATGTTAGGATCTTCAGGATATAAGATTCAAACGAATTCCATAATCTTCCTAAAAATGATAATATGATAAGCAGATCTCAAAATTCGTGTCGAGGTGTGAAACAAGCATTTTGGTATGTGATTGAAACTATTCTATGTGATCGTGAATGAAAGGTTCCATTTTCTGATATTTTATTCCAGGTATACCCAAATATAGCGAATTAAAAGCAGCGATGGAAGATAACTTATAGTAATTATTTTCGTCAAGTACTGATGATAGTTCGAATTGTGTTAAATTGACTGCTAAAGGTGTCCAAGGAATTATAAGTTCTAGCAAGTAGCAGCAAGACAAAGTAATTCAACTCTTGGAACCAGTGCCTATTCATCCTCTGATTGTTCACGTCGAATGTCGTCGTTTGTACGTAAATCGAAACGAGATGAAGAATGATCTCAGGTTCAGATCGGATCCTGATAGAGAAGCATTTTGGCTCATAGAATACGGCCACTGGCCTGCATCTTCATTTTGGAAACCGTTTGCCTAGTTAAAAAAAAGTTCAAAGAATTCAGACATGAGTCGACGACACATAATACCCGCAGCTCTTCCTATAACATTGAACTGCCTATTCCCACGTCAACTCTTACCAAGAATTCTATAATTCATGAAGGCAAGAAGTTGTTCAATCATCTGCCCTTGCACATAAAGCAAATAGAAACTGAACGAAAGTTTAGGAAATCGGTTAAAAAGTTTCTATTGGAAAAGCGTGTTATAATCTCACCGAATTCTATCAGGGTACATGATTTCATAATAATACTACTGATTTTCAGACTTGTTTATAAAATTACTGTCTTCACAAACAAATTTGTGAATGTTCATACATATTTTTACTTTTATACATTTTTACCTTCATACATTTTTATACAATTTTATACATTTACACACTTTTTTACATGTCTACACTTTATATTTGAATATGTGTTTTTATTTTTTATATAAGACTATGCTTTGTAAGGACGATCAATACTTTGTCAATAAGAATTTATTCTTCAGGCAATAAAGTTCATTTTGATTTGATTTGATTTGAACTGGTAGCAGTAGCAGAGCTTCGTGATCTGAGCTGCCGACATTCGCATTCGAAAATGATTGCTTGTTTTGTGGCCAATTCATCAAGGAAACCGTGAAAATAATTTGATCTGCAATTTCACCAGTACGAACTTTCGCGTTTCGACAAACTATTATTGATGTGTGTGATGCAAGAAACGATTTCTGATCATCAAAAAATGTCCTTGCAATTCTTCTTTTCGTTATCGATACTCGCCAGCAGCAGATGCTCTGATTAATCAGAAATGTAGTGTGAATTTGAAAAAAGGCGACTCTATACCTAAGAAACATCAACATGATATCCCCAATGAACAGACAAAGTGAGCAGGACGTCCTTCTGATAAAAATAAAGAAGATGCCTTTTTAGAAATATGCAGGTGGCTCAAGGAAAATGATGAACCAATTTCAGTTCAGGAGTTGCTGGACAAAATGGCAGAGCTGTTGCCAGAAGATATCGAACCTTACCTGTTCGTCGTATGCATAAAAAATTAGAAGAATATTTCTCGGATGACATCATGATATTGAGACAAAAAGATAGAGCTAATATAATCGTAACTGGGAAAACAGTTGTCAAAATAATTTGTGATTATCAGCGACAAAAGTGTTCAGAAGATACAGATGCTGAAGAATTTCGGATAGTTGAAGCAACAGCTAAACTGATTAAGAATTCAATCAAGTTGATGAGAACATCCTGAGAGTTTTATCCTTCACCAGAAGTTCCGAGCAGGAAAATAATAAGCTTCAACCCGACATTTTGAAAACATTCTTGGATATAATAATCAACAAAAAATCATCAAGTTTGGAGAAAAATTCAATTGAACAGGCACTAATGCAAGCTGCAAGGCAATGATCGATCATGAGTTCAATTCGTCTAGGTGTTGGTGTGCAGTATCATCGAGATTTTCGATCTCGGTTACTTGTCGATGAACTCCATAAGCTTTGGTTTTCTGTATCATATGATGACGTACAGAAGTTCTTGCAAAACTGAAGTAGAACCAGATGTGAATATCGACGATACGGAATTTTTCGCACAGTATTGTGCAATCATTTTTCGGGAAGGTACCAATATTCCAATCGAGGAAGTTGAAGATAATGAATGAACTTCTGTTACATGCCAAATATGCTATTTTTATTAGGTTTATGATGACTAATCATGCACACACAAGATAGTCAACGCCTGTGCAAAAATGGGCGACGCTCCGATGGGATTTAACATACCGGTGACTAATCGGCTGTGCTATCAGTTGACCAATGGGCTATTTCCCACGAAGATGAAATTTGCAGTACGAGCCGAAGGCGAGTGCTGTTATCATCTGAGTGGGTGAAAGTCATCATGCGCAAGTAGAATACTATACTTTATCTACAACTATTCAAATATCTTTGGAAAAAAGGAAGGTTATTATATTGCAAAATTTCATTCAACGAACAGCTTATAACTTATTTCGATGATTTTGATTGTGAAAATATGATGAACAATGTTGGATATAACATTTATTAACAGGAAAATAGTCGTGCAATCACATATCAGTCAATCTTACCAGGTATTATATGCTATTTTACTTTTCAATTGTAAAATGAATCATATTATTGCAGATTTTTCATTAACTACCAAAGAAGGAAAGATTTGTATTTCATTATTCAGTATAATTCATTAACTTGCTTCCGCTGTAGCGTTCCCCCACCGCGATGATTGATTGTAGTACCCTGTCTCTAGAAGCTAGTTATCAACAATGAAATTCCATGATTCTGATTGGTCTGTACCAATCTATTCGAATAGCCTGTTAGTGCGATAGTGTGAGAAAATCTGCAACTGTCAAGTGTCAAGTCCTATTTTATGATTATGGTTACTCATGATGGTAGTCACTGTTGAGGATGGAAAACAGTGAATTCTCATTTTTCCGTGTATTTGTAGAATTAAGGTGATTAAAACTATGAGAACCATGTAAGGTGAGTCTTTTGAATTTGCGAACTAGTAGAACGAATACCTACCTAGTTGAATTTGACAAGACGATGGGATGTCAGATTATTACGCCACCCCACTGTCATTATAACTCTTATTACTCGATTCATCACAATAATGTCTGTCAATAAATGTCGAAAATCGAGTAAGCAATGTATGAATGACTCCATAGTTGTAGATAAATATTATTATCCGAGTCGGTGGAAAACGCGGCGTTGTAATGAATAGATGCGCACAGCGGATTGTCACTCATCTAGTGTGTATATGATCTTTGATACAACTGTCATAATTCGTCATTTGGTCGGTGAGGTCACTATTTTAAAATGCCTTTTTAAAACTATTATACTTTGATAATATCATTAAAACAATTAAACAACCTTCTCAAAACATAAAGGTCCACCTTTATAAATACTGTCACAGCTCCTCTTGAAGCTTGTCATAAAACTAATAGGAATTTATTGTAGTATGCCTCAAAGCAATAATAAAACCTATCAAAACTACTTCCTTTAAAGCCTTTCAGTACGAGTTCAAACCTATATGTTTTGAAACGACAGTTCTTATGCCAACATTGAATCTTATTGGCTAGACTCAAAATCTTATCAGTTGCAGTAAGCATTCATTAAGATAATATGTATAGTCCGTAGCGTGTTTGATGATAGTCTTTTTTCAGAATTAATTATAATACAAACATGTCAAAATGAAGAGAAAACAATAGATAGTTGAAAAAGCGACGAAACATACCAGATATGCTTGAAAAAAAGCAGCGCCCTAGGAATAATGTGTTTTTACCAGTTAGAATTGGATGTGAATTTCAATACCTTTCTGAAAAAGTTGACAAAACTGTGTGAATGTTTGCTGAATATGGGTGAGTCGTTTGAAAAATGTGAAAAAACGACATTTTCGACGGCAGTATCAATGCATCTTTCCTATTATCCGCTTGAAATTTTCATTTCCATCAATGTCCGACATCTGTTTGTAGTGAATATGGCGCGAAATGTACTTAGAACCAATTTTCTTTTTCTAATGCTTGAATAAAACCTTTAAGTAATGAAGAGGCATTTTATGCGACGATTTCCTCCTGTTGAAGTAGTTATTGCATATTCGAATCCATTCTTAAGCTTCGAAAATGATAAGATTGATATGAGATGGTTATAAGATAATGCCTTCATAATACTATGAAGCTTTAAGAATATCCTGGCTAGTGCTTATTGGTAGTGTTGCAAAGTGTAAAAGAACGTCATCAACATGATTACCATAACCCTAATTTTGTTGTTTACAGTGTTCACTTTGTGAATTTCGTGATTGGTTTGAAGTAGGAAACCGAGTAGGAAACATAGACAAACTACACTCAGTGCAGTTCGCTTGATATTGTGTTGAATGCTCCATTCTCTCAAATTCATGCTCTACTCGCCATCTGACATAATTTGTGCAAAACTGTTGTCAACTTCCTCGCTTCCTAGTTCCGATTCAGAAGCACTATGATCAGAAGTTTTTTCCATTACGTTCTGACTCGTTGATGGTACTTTATGAACATCAGGTCCTAACGAATTCTTGCTAGTTGGTGGTTTCAGGTGGTATGAATTGAAAGACGCATTGTTTGGAATTGCTTGGGCTTGAGAATTCTGATTTACTGTTGCTCTCACGGTTTGATTTTTGATTCTTAAGTAATTTTCTTCATTTTTTCGCTTGAAATTGCCATTTCTCTTAATTTCACACTATTTATTTTCTTGTGAGTTAATTTCAACGTGAGTCGTTAGTAGGCAAAAAAAACACGTACATTCATATTATGAGATTTGGGTTTAACACGGTTTTGAATAAAACTTCATAAATCCTATAGATTTTATGATTGACTTCGATGAATTCATTGTGGCTTAAAGGTTTTAATGATTACTTTCACATAGCTAGAATAATGCCAATAGGTTTCATTATTGCCTCAGTCAAATCCTAATTGGCCTAGTGTAAATTTGGTTTTATGATTGCTTTATGAAGTATTTTCATAGGATTAGTTCAGAAACTCTTGGTCAAATTCGAGACACTAATAAATCTTGAGAGTTTTAAGAGGGTTGTCAAGAGTAAATAGTTTTGATGAAGAATTTCAATGACTCTCACAGAGGTCTCTTAAAACCGAAGTGAGCTGAATGCCAAATTGTTTTATGCGATAGTTCTATCATAGTATCTCGAAACCTTTTAATAGGATTATATGGACATGAAGGCCAATTTGTTTTTTCAGGGCATTCATAAAACGGTAGAACAAATTACACCTATCATTTGCGCTCACATAACTTCTTTAAAGTCTCATCGAAGCTATTAGGCATTTAAAATGTTACTTGGGTTGCATTTTTCTTAGTAGAATCCCATTTGCATGTGCTGATAGTATCAGAGAATAAGGATAGATAAATAAACCAACGAACTTGACATACATATTTTTATCTCCTATTTATCATTTGATATTGAGTGAGGTCATAGTGTACCTGTATTATTCTTAGTGTGATTCCATTTGTATTTGGTTCGATATCAATATTATCAGCGGAGAATAAACAAATGATTGAACTTGACATACATTCGAAGTATTTCTTTTTATTGAATATTCATGAACAAACTCATATCGATATTTCCTAGTCAATTGTCCATACGACTATTGATTTCTCACAGTGCCTCGAGTTGTCATTGAAGTTTCTGAAAATATATCTCTCATGGTACAACATTTCAGTAGGTAGTTGTTAGTGGCAGAAATACCAAAATTTGCTTATATGTCTAATTGGTGATTTCTTGTTACTTGTGTCAAAATTTGAGAAACTATACATCAGTTTCATGTCTGAGAAATGAAATTATAAGTGCAATTCACAATGGACTTGCCATTACAAGATCAAAACTCTCAATGTACTATAAGCCCAATTGTCCTGTTATATCACCCAGGTAACAAGCTGACGTCATTTGTACGTCAATATATGGTCATTTAGGGTCATTGACGTCATATGACCTCAAAATGACGTCATTTTGACGTACTTAATATGACGTTATATAGACGTCCTTGATATGTCGTCAATATGACGTCATCTGATGGTCATTTTCATGAATAATTATGACCATCATTTATTGAGTCATCTTCATCGAGGAAAATCCATAATCAAGAAGTTTTCCATCTCTGTTATATGAAAACGTTAGTAGTTATGTTATATAACATATATTATTATGTCACTCATCATATATTATGCTTCATATTAATTTTTCCTCTAATCTGTGCGAGATGTGTGTTCGATGGTCTCTGAGATAATTGTTAATTATATACCTTCTGTGCAAAGTATTCTCCCTATAGCTATTAAAAATATAAGACCGAATGTCACGTCATAAAAAGATTATAACGTTGTTATTCCGGAATGCGAATTCAAATCAGAGCGGGAGAGTGCGTAGAGAACTGTATTTGATTGGTCGGCACGGACCTTGCGCAGACATGCGAACGTCGACCGCCAGCGCCAACCCACAGCCGTCTTCAGAAGACGGCTGTGGCCAAGCCGTTCACTTTCGCTTCGCCGTTGCGGCCATGATGACCATAACAACAAAATAACAATACATATATCATTATCATGTTATTCGGCTATCTATGTTGTGTGGTGTGGTGGTCATACTTCATATTCATATATCAAGTAGTAGAATTTGAGGATGGCAGCATGGTCATTATTTTAGACAAGTGGTGTATGCCGAAAAAGCAGAATGTGAATTGGACGCCATTGAAGG